ATATATAAATACATGAATTATGTAAGAATACATAAAAAAAAAATTTAGAAAAAAAAGGTTTTTTCTTAACAGCCGTCGCCCCTCGGCAGGCAATGGCAAACCTCCGAGTGTATTTCAGCCATGAAAAACAGCTTCTCATAAAAATACAATCGCCGTTCGGAGTCGGCGTAAAACTGTAGGTACCTCCCCCTTGGTGTGACAACATCATGGGGCACACCACAAATTGTAGGAGAAGCTCGGCCAAACACTAACATATGTGTAAGCGCCAATCTATTATTATGTAAGAATACAAAGACAAATTATTTATCAGAAGCATTGTCTTTTACACACTGAAAAAAGTAATAAAAACTTTCAAAAAAGCAAAATCGCCACTGCAAAATAATGGTTTGAAAAACCGCATAAATTCAAATCCGCATAAAAAAAAATCCGTTTAAAAAGAGACCTAGGTGTATTTTTCAAAAAGCCATACACTTAGAAAAATTAGGTGCTATTTGAAATAAAAATAGCAACGTTTAAGCCAAATCGGCAGGCCTGTTACCTACACATTCATCGATTCATAACATCGTACAGCTCTATAAGTCACGTCACTCTTCCTCTTGCCCTTTTTCTGGCTGGCTCTTGGTTTGTTTTTGTTAGTGTGTTGGTGTTTTTGGTTCAGTGTAATGGTGTATTTAAAATAAATTGTAAGAGAATTGGAAGAAACTGTAAAAGATAAAAGCAAATTCCGAAAAGGTGATCTCAACTGTAGGCATTTCAACGTGTCTCGTAATTTGATAATTAGTTTATGATATCAAAATGCGGTGTGAGCACGTGAACTGTGGCAATATATGTATACAGCAGTAAACTACAGTAGATGAAATTTATTCGCAAATGTCTGCACATAAGCAGCGTAAATGCGCATTTAATTATGCCCAAAGTACACATAAAATACATTAGGAAATGTAATAAATGGAGACTAGTATAGGGGGAATAGTGGAAGGCAGAGCAGCGAGCGCAAGTATGAAATCAAGTTGAGAAGAACATTGTAAGGAACAAGGAAACCGCCATCTTCCTCAGGCATTGAAGCATAGGAGAATTGGCGTGGTTCGTTATATAAATAATTAGTTAGTTTTCTTACTGTAAACAGGTAGCATTAGAAGACATGGGTTTGAAGAGAAAGTAAACTACTAATAGATATCGCAAATAGTTAGGCCTTAGAATATTTTAGCGGTGTCATCCTCTTTACTCGACCCAAAAACTACCGCGCTTTAAAAACTAAGTATATAGTATCTGAAAAAAATTCCCTCCACGTATTTTGCCGTTTTACTGCCGAAAAATTAAAAGTTCGGAACACAATCATCCACAATTCTCTGGCGGCCATAGCCGCAGATTCAAAGTTTGTTTTCTCGCTTTTTTGCAGAAGTGTTCATGTCGAAGATACATAACCTCCATAGGATTTTTAATAAGATTTAAGGTCAGCATACCCCATATACAGACAAATATAACTATGAAAGTAAGAATAAATTCACCTTTAAAATCACAAAAGCAAGTGTAACGCATTTCGCATTTCCTTTCTTTAATCTATTTAGGGGTTGCTATTTATTCACATAAACTATGCGTTTGCTTACATATAAATACTCCGAAGAATTCTCAGAACTACAAACTCAAACTGTATATTTTAGGAGGAGTAGATGATGTGCCAACATTACCACAACCATAAGTTCAGTTTCTTCAGTAACTCTTCAAGTGCTTGCCGACATAAATGTACCGATATTTGCAATTTTGTGCAGCAATTTCCATTTATATTGAATACTATACATAGCTAAGTACATAAATAAGTATGATATACAGAAGTTTACATTTACATTTGTACACACACCTACTTCCTCGGCGTCAGTCAACAGTTTAGACCCATTTCCTATTTACATTTCCTTTCAGTACATAAGTATTTCCAGCCTTCTATTTGGTCATCAGAACTTCTACCAGCTCGCAACCAACAACAACTACATTCATATATATTTATATAAAGAGAAAGTTGTCCGTCTGCTTCTTCTCTTCTGCCACTATCTCGTCGGTACATACATACATATATCTAAAGCTTTCTTCGAGTTTATGGATAGTTTCACGCTTGCGTTATTTCCATAAAAGTGGTTTTTCCTTAGAGAACATACATGGACGCACACACACACGCACACACACACACACACACACACACACACACATTTTGAACCACATTGGGCGTATCGAGTGCTTTCATTTCAAACATTTCATAAACTTCAATCTGTGGCGCATCAGCATCGCCAGAGCAACTGTCAAATGGAAGGCGTTATGCTGCGAAAGTTGAGCTGCTTCCGCTCGAGTTCATTTCGCAAACGCAGTTAAGATTGTCGCAAATCTGATATCATTCTGAGTCATACTCCTTCACGAATGTGTGAAGTACTTTTGCATAAATGCTTACAGTTGTATATTTTGTGAATGTGAATGTGAATGTGCGCATGTGAGATACTTAAGTACACACGTACAGCAGCAACAACACTGTTGTAACCTCAAAATAGTTTTGGGCGTGAAAAGCGTACTTGGAAAGTTCTTGTTGAACTTGTCTGACCTTCTTAACTGCCTACAATCTGCTGGCGACTATTGCCACATTTTGGGCATTGTATACTTTCTGGCTGAAGGGAGATTCTGTTGTAAGTAGATGTTACTTACGTAGCATAAATGTTCTATTTCGTTATGTAATTCCAATTTCTATAGTTAAATACTGAAGTTGAGGAAAATGTATGTAGCTGCTTGTATCTCTGCCGCAAATCTACATTGAAATTAAAAGCATACCTTCAGGCGTCAATACTGGCATTCAAGTTCATTCATTGAATTCATTACTGTACACATATGTTCATATTGTATGTAAAATACATTGTGCTTAATTGAGCCACCTAAACAGATCAGAAGGCATTTGTGTGTGTTTGTGCATGACATTAGATATTGCCTTAGTAAACATCGACGCAAGTAATTGTGTTCAAGATGTGAATAAGTGTGTCTAATTTCAGGCATAATTTAATAATCCTTCATTGAATGGAGGCCTACAGATATTGATTGATAGATTAAGTTTGCCTCTTTGTTAAGAGTATGCCTTGCATTACAACTATCGTAATCAGTAACAAGTTAATAAGTTAATTTACTAATTGCATAAAAGCATGTTCACATTAACGTAATTTACGGCTCATTTGTAATTTATAAACACATAGAAATTAGATAATTTATTATAAATCAAGAATCAAATGAAGAAAAAAGCTTCTTCATTTATTTTAGCCCCCACAGTTGAGGAAATTTAAAAAGACACCCCTAAAGGTATGCAACCATTTTTTTTTTTCTTGAAATCAAGTACAAAACACGCACTCGCACGTACATGCGCTAATCACATATCTATGGAAATTATGAAAGAAAATGTGAACGTACTTCATTTGTGTGAAGTAATTTGCTAGAAACAAAGTAATTTATGCTGCAATGTGAACATAGTTTAAGTTTAATAAGCAAAGGTGTTTCTTGCGTTAAGTTATTAACTTTATATATATGTATGTATAAAATGCAGAGCATAGAGAAAGTGTTATTCAAAACTTTGCTGAAAGTGTACACAACTTACAGTGATAAACAAACTTACTTTCATGTTTTGTTTATGTTGCGTTTATTGAAAAAAAAATAACAAAACTTCACTTTTTTAATGAAAATTCGGGTTTTTAAATTGCTATAAAAATATATGCAAAATTTTTAACCACCAAGCGTAATACTCAAATAAGAAAATAATCTATTCTACTATTATTATATGTAAATGTTAAAGTTTGTGAGTGAGTGTTTGATTATACTTGTTACTCTTTCATGCTAAAATGGCTAGACGTATTTCAATGAAATTTGGCACACAAATAGATTATAGCCTAGATTAACGTATAGAACATTTTTTGAACAAAGTTGCCCCCTTCTTCAAAACTTAGACTTAATCAGTTAGCAATTTAAATAAAATATAACAACAGTGTCGATGTAAACGAAAAGGGTTCAAGAACGATTTCAAAAGATAAAATCAATTTAGTTACTATGTTAGGCGAAATATTTTAAAATGGGCATAAAACGAGAGAGATTTAGGAAAGCTTTATTTCAAAAATATTTTCGAAAGGAGCTGCCACCTGTTAAGAAATTCCATATCAATTTAGTTAGCAAGTTGCATCAAATATTTTAATTTTGGGTATTAATAGAGAAAACTTCTACGAAAGTTACAAATTGTTTTGAAATTATTTTTGACGAGGTTGCCACCAGTTTAAGAATTTTATTGACAAGTTAAATCAATTCTCACTAATAGTATAAATATAAAAGTTTCTGAGTGACTTTGTGCATTATGGGTGGCAAAGAACTGAGGTTTAAGAAAGCTTATAATATTTTTCAGAGGGTTGCCACATCTTTAAAAGCAACAACCCATGCTCACATAAGTTAAATAAAGTATAAGGTATAAGTAACTATAGCTTGGAAAATATTTTTAAAACAGGGTTGCCACCTGTTAAAAATTCAAACTAAATTGAATCATTAAATTAAGTGAAGCATTACAAAAAGTGGTCAAGTCAGACAGATAACGCTTAAATAGACTTTAATTCGAAAACATTTTTAAAAGTGGTAAGCTTCTGTTAAAAAAAGTCGAATTATATTTAATTAGTTATTTTAAAATTTAATTCCATTAAAGTGAACATTTGCAAAATGGAATTTCTTCGGTCTTTTTTTAATTCAGAAACATTTTTTTTAAATACTTAAAAAAATAGCCACCCAATAAAAATTTTTAAAAAAATAAACGTACCTATTTATGTACATATATGTTTTATATAGTGACTAGCTACGAAGTTTAAGTTGTTTTTTATGATGAATTGGACAATTTAGTTGAAATTCGACACAACGACCATGTTTGGGAGCCTCGAGACAATAGCTATTATAAATTTGTCTATCTAATGTGTCACTAAATTCATTTGTTTTTTTTTTTTTTTTTGCAGACCGTTGAAGATCTCGAAAATCGTTGCATGGAGGCTGGCGTCGAAATCGTCACAAGACAATCATTTCTATCCGATCCAACAGATGCGGTACGCAACCTACGCCGACAAGATGCACGCATCATAGTCGGTCTCTTCTATGTGGTGGCGGCGAGGCGTGTACTTTGTGAAATGTATAAACAGCAATTGTATGGGCGTGCGCATGTGTGGTTTTTTATAGGTGAGTAAAAGTGGATTTTGTGATACTCGAGGTTTAAAAGTGTAGACAGGCTTTGTTCAAATTTATTGAAAAATTGTATAGATTATTTTTTAGTCTTGCATTTTTCTGTTTGGGCACGAAGATCTTCGAAATCGCTAACTACTGAAACTCCTAGCAAGTTTTAGACCGGTAATTATCTAAAACACAAACTACAGTGACGAGCAAACAAATAGGGAAGCGACATTTTGACAATTTTTTGTTCATTTCATTTTTACTTATTTTTTTATGAATCACGTCTGTAAGTCCGAATTCCAATCTTGTTTACAAAAAGGAAAATTCGACAAAGTTTCATAAAAACTTCGAGCTTTTTAATCTGAATTTTTAGAAAAATACTTGTATGCAACCCACACAATATTTGATACCTACCGTTGACTTTTGGCAATTTTTTTTTTTTGCAAAACACTGTTAGGAAACAAAAATTGTCAAAAATCAAGGTAAGCCCAGCTACTTCAAAATTGCGCTTTATTAAAATTTTTGCACTTTATAATTGTTTCTTTTAATTTAGTAAGCTACAAAACTGCATACCTAAATTTTGTACTTTAATTCAGCATAAAAGGTTTGGAAATTTCGAGAATATTTGTTGAGGTTTGTCGAATTTTTATAAATCTTGTACAAAGTTTGAAATTTTTACTTAAATGGTTTTTGTTAGATAGTGAGCTACCCTATTATAAACTTCCCAACTTCTAGGATGTATTAGTTGGCTCTTCAGTAATCCAGGCAGACATATTTTATAAAGCAGCGAAATAACTGTAGCTCTTTTAGAGTACTACAGCCTTCTTTTAGGAGTAGATAAACTATTCACATAAAAAATACCATCTACAATCACCACTGATTTCGACAGCTCCAAAATAGTTTAATCAAAAAAATATTGCATGTTCCAAACAAGGCTTTTCTTCAGTCACAAAACATCCAACGCGCGTATCGTCCAATTAACGCTCCTTTCCTCTACCCACTTATCTACAATTCAATTAAGCATTTTAGCAAAATGTCCCCTAGCTAACGTTGTAGTCATTACTTCAAATAAAAAATCGACTAATTTCAGCACAAAACACACTAAACATTCATTTCTGCGCTCTCTTTCCCTCATCACCTTCCGAAGTCATTGCCATTTCTCTGCTTGCTCGCCGTGATTGTTTCCAGCAGCGCCAAATTGATTTGTCACATAGCCCGGTTTATCTTTTTTGGCAACCCTACATTAACTCTTACTTTTTATAGAGCAACTTTTAATGGCAACTGTTTTCCAACACTTTTGCTTTTTACTTTAATATTACAGCGCACACTTGACCTTTATTTTGTGAGTTACAGCGTTTTTTTTTTATTTTTTTTTATTTTATCTGCCAAGCGAATTCCGTGCCAGCCCATTTCATTTGTCTCCCTCTCGCTGCACTGCTGACTCGCCGAACAAAACTAAAGTGAAGTGAGCGCATTCCAGCAGCACACCTTTTCAACATTTTAATACCAAAAACAACAAATATATGTATCAACAACTACAACCCAACAACGGCAATATGAGCAATAAAAACTAAGTTATTTAGTTGAAAGCGTTTACGATTTCACTGCTGCTCGCGCTCCTCAGCTCGCTTGCCTCATTTTGGCGCGCAGATTTTCCAAGGATGAGCTAGATTTTTGATTCGCTTTTATATTAAGCAGCATTCACTAATTTTACAATTGGTCACGTTTCACACGTTTTTCGCATAAAATACAAAATTAACCTTTCCACGCGAAACCAACGACCGGGCGACAGAAACGGGCTGCAGACTTTATGTTCACTACACAGAGGGCATTCACAATGGGCAAATCTGTCTTCGAGTGGCAGTATGAGTCAATCGTCGTACGCGCCTTTCCTAACCTAACCTTATTTTCACTACAGACAGAATAACGTTAAAAAGTTGTTGTAGTTTTCCCTTTATTGTTGCCTTTTTTATGTGCTCTGTGTTTGGCGGCAATCAGCTTAGCTTTTCTACAATAATATTGTACTACTTCACCTACTCCATCTTTTGGATTAAGTTGTTTTGCTCTTCAATGCAACTCTTCTTGCTGATCCTGCATTTGTACGCGTTTGTTGCTGTTTGGAAAACAAGCAAAAACTTTTATTCTATTCCCTTCGAAATCCACTTAAATTGTTCATTAGATAATAAATTCACCTTTTCCCATGACATGATTGATGCGTATTTGGTAATGCTATTAAATGGATTGAATGCGGTTTCCTCGGCACCCACATAGCTACATACATCAAAGTGGAATTCAATGAAAGTAACTGCAAAAAGTACTAAGCCTTGCGAAGTTGTTGTGGGTGGGCTGTGGCATTAAAAATGAATTAAATCCTTGGAATAAATAGTGGAAAAATACCAATTGGGGTTTTTTTTATGTACATTGAAGATGAATAAATGGCTAAAAACTTCGTTCTCGTAATTTTTTATTCTAAAAAGTGGGTTTAACAATGAAATAAAAGCTCAATTTAATCCAAACTGTTTTTATTAGACAGATATATTTCAATGAAAAATCCTTAGTTAGCTTATTAAGCCTGCTCAATTTCAAAAACTAAATTTGGCTCTGGCAAGTTCATACTTCTGGTCGGAGATATATTTTGAAAGCCCTCTATACCTAGCGAAAGTGGACACATCCCCCTCTCACCAGGGTTGTTACAGAACGTTACTGTTAATATGGATCCAGCTGAGCTTCGGAAATCGGATGGTTGAGCTTCAGCTCTCTTTGCAAAGGTGGCAAAAGGCGAGACTCGTAATGCTTGAGTCGCATTGAGTTAGATATTACCATCGGCATGTTCACTTGTACTTCTTCTTCAACCCTACAACTTCTGCAAACTTTGATATAACGGCATTATTGGTGTAATATCAGAAGTAGGACCCTTATAACCGAATTATTATACTTCCAAAATGTTTCGTAAGGTATGGCATTTCCTGTAGCAGTCGTACTAATCTGTATTAGGTTAGGTTTGGTACTAAGCCACAGAACATTCTTCCTTGCCCACTTTGAAATGCTACGCAGTGCCGATATTCACATCATCAAAGTATGTAAATTACTCGAAATAATTTTCAGTAAATCCCATAATCTCCTCCAAATATCTCCTTCTCTGATTTACTTCTTGACAAAAATAAAATACAGTTTCCCCAAGTTCGTCTATTAATTTTCGCACCCAACTTATGCGACATTAAGCAAGATGCAATCTAACAAATTATAGCTGTCGCAGGAAAGTAGTTTAAAATTAATTAATTTTTATTACGAAACTGAAATATGTATGCATGTATGTCTAGCACATCTGTTACATAGTTAAACGACTTTCCTCCCGGTCGCCTTACTCACACTGCCTCAGAGACCACTGATTCATGCAACAAAGTTATTTCAGGTATTTTCACATTAATGACGGTAATAAATAATTTGCAAAAACAAGCAAAGGATTGAAGGAAAGTTAATTATTACAGTGGGAAATTTGCTATCCCAATTGCGTGAGGGAGACTATTAAAAAGATGGAAGTCGTAGGAGAGAAACAATTGGTGAACATCTCCATGTGTATGTATGTGCAAACTGAAGTGGAATAGAAGGTGGCTTAACTGTGTGAGAGGATGTATCCATATACGCAAGCATGTCTTTCAGCATCTTTCGAGATTTGCGAGTACAAAAATAAAATTCGACTGACGAAAAATGTGTATAATAAATGTATCTCATATAAGTGAATTGTATTTCGTCGTACTGTTTGTTTAATACCAGAGAAATGTTCAACAAATATGCATAAAAAGTATTTTATTTAACATCAAAAGTTCCAACTCGCAGTGCACAATACATATTCACTGATGAAGCACGGCCTCATCGTAACTTCACCTAACATCGATGCTCTTGGTGACGCGGGGGGGCAATGAAGGCAGGCAAATATCGACAGATGCGCATGTACATAGCATTTCAATGTACGCACATGCATTGGTGTGCGTACAAGTGTACAACAACATTAAATGAGCAGGAGAAATGCCATTACTTCAATACAATTGCTGTTGGTGGTTGTGGCAAAAGTTTCTTAACTGCGGCTTAGTAAAGTTTTATTGCAAAGCTGAAACATCTAAACGAACGCAAACAGACTTGTACATATGTACATATGTATGTGTAAGACGTTTACTTTTATGGTAAATTATTCAACATTAAATAAACATTTTTATACATACATACGCAGTATACTTACATATACGTATTGGAATATTGAGTTAAGAATAAAGTGGCTGCTGACCTTGGAAAGTCAGCACACTCAAGCCCAATGAAGGGCTCAGTCGGATGCCACCATGGCCGATAAGCGACAGATATTACAAAAAAAAAATTATTTGAATTTTGGTCGGATGCGATCGGGTGGTCGTTCTTCGCTATAACCAATCGATGTTTGTAAATGGAAGCAGTTATATGCATAAATAGCTCTGATTCAATACTTTTCGTGAAAAATCCTGTAAAACTGTCAAACAGCAAAATTACTCTCTGAAGTGAGAGTAAAAAGTGAGTAACAACAAAAAGTACGGGAACAAAAAAACCATTTTTCCTGTAAAAACGTCAACCAGCGATTGCTTGACACTTTTCATGATTTTACCAGAAGAAAAAGTTCGGGTAAAATCTCGCAACTTCATTCTCTACACAACTCTCCAAAAGTCGCTCGCATTTACAGGATTTTGGAGGATTTTCGAGTACGGGAACATTTTTCCTGCAAGTTCGTGTAAATCCTGGATCAGAGCTAATATATTTATTTTACTTTGCTTTATAAAACTTCGCAGCCAGTGTATTAATTCCAGTCTGCTTTTTTAAATTTTGCCACCATTCATTTATTTTTTGTTTCATGTTGCAAGGCTCCTTGTTTGTTTCAATTGCTTGGGTAAAACTTTTCGATTCCATATGTGGACATATGTATGCATAATTTACCAACATGCAGACATACATACATACATACACATGTTTATGCTAACTCCGTATGA